AGCAAACCACAGACTAACTGGAGGAATTTTTAAAAAGTTGAACTCAAGAAACATCACATCCTCGGTGAAGGTAAGAATCTTCTTACACTGCTGGGTGTGTTCCACCTGTGACATGGATGAGAGAGGTTCCACCGGTTCGTCCAGATGTGTGTGTGTGTGTGTGTGTGTGTGTGTTGTGTTGTGTTGATGAGTGAAACCAGCTGAAGCGTTTCAAACACTCACTCTTGGAGAGCTGCGGCCCGTTCCTCGTGGTCAGGATTTCGATGAAGGAGGACACGTTGATTCCTTTGGTGTTTTCACCGGCTTCAAACAGAGTCTGCACAGAGAATCAGTCACAGTCAACTTCTTAACCTCCGAATGACAGTTTCCTTCATCACCACAAACACACACACTTTAGTTGGTTCAAAGCCACGCCCTCATTTGTGTGTTTTCATTGTGAAATCTCTGCAGACAGAACAGAGACGTCGGAGAGAACTTTTGGTTTGTGTCTTCAGGGTATTTGTTGTTTCACCTCTGCGTCCTCTTCGGCCAGCCCCATGTTGACTTCATTGCTCTCGTCTTTGTTTGCTCTCAACATGGCCAGAAGAGCCTCGGTGAAGTCGCCGCTGGTCTCGTCTTTAATAACGTCTTCCAGCTCTTCTCCGTACTCTGAGGGAACAGCAGCGTTTCAGCACAAAGAACAACAAACTCTGCAGGAAAATAATGACACAACCACAGTGGCTGTTGTCAGTGATAACAAGCGGGCGATTACAGAGACGCACAGTCTGGGAATTCAGTCTTATTACACTGTGTGTCAGGAACGTGTTACATGATATGTGAAAAGCTTTCAGGACCAACTGAAACAAACATCGAACCTGCTTTAAAAACACTCTTGAGCTCTCGAATCTCTTGGTTTGACCTCGTCGCCAGAACCTCCACCAGGACGTCCTCATCTGTCCCAAACCTCTGATGGAAAACCAGAAGGAGGAGAGGACATTTTAAAAACGTGTTTTTTATAGGATCTTAAGCTTCGTACAATAATTCAAAATATTAGTAACAGAACTTATACAGTCGCCGTCACTCGTGAAGTCAAATCAGAGAAGAATTCACTGTTTGAATGTTTGAAATATTCTCCTGCCCCCTGATCTTTACCTTTGTGGCCTTCCTGATCAGGTAGGCGTCAAACTGAGCCGGCGTCATGAGCAGAGCCAGAGAAACGTCCTCCAGATCTGAGCGGAGAGCCGACTTCAGAGCTTTATCCAGCTTCTGCAACAGATGAAGACGTGAGGGGACGGTCGATCATTAAAATGTGAGTAAAGCTGAACTGTAGATCAGTTAAAAAGACGTCGTTAAGATATCTCCAAATATTCAGCCAGGAAACGTTTAAATGATCAAGAATGAGGAATATCCACCGTTAATGTTGTAGCTGGGCGTAACTGTTTTATAATGTATGAATTTGAATGCTCGTTTATAAGAGGAGGATTTTATTATTTCCCTCCAAAGTAGTACAGTCATGCTTGAAACTGAAATAAGTGTGAAAGTGAAAAAATGAAAATTGCATTTGCAGCTTTAATTCTAATGCAGTGGACTTTTTGAGGGAGCCTGTTTGAGTTGCAAATCTATAAATGCAAAGTTTGTTTCTGTAACTAAATGAATGGTTTGAATAATGGTAATATAATGGAAACAGTAAATTTCTCACATTCCCAGTGGACGCTTCATAAACAGCCTGGATCTTCTGCCTCTGCTCGTTGTTCCTCCTCACCAGGACGGCAATGATCACATCCTCATCCACTCCTGCAACGGACAAATGAGTTTGTACATTTCATTATCATACAGAGACGTCATTCAGTTTGCTTTAGAGGAATAAAGAAGCAGATTAGAAGCATAAAAACATCACAAAGGAAAGAAGACCAGTTTTTAAACTACACACAGAAAAAACCAACACACCCACCTTTACTCTCAATGGCACTGTTGAGAACTGAGGCGTCGCTGCTGGCACTGAAGTTCGGATACGGAGTGACTGTTCCATAATACTTAGGCTTGGGTTTACCCTTCACCTGAAACAACATGCAGCAACATTCAGCTGCAGAACATCAGGAATTCAAAAACGCCAGTTTCATCACGAGTCAGAGACAGTGTCGAGACTTCCACAGTATTCCTTAAAACAGGCCTCCTCGTGTCTGCTTGTTCCCACAGGGGATGTTTCACTCACTTTGACGGTGTCCTTGTCAGGGTTCCTGTCGTGGATGATATCTTTGAAGAACCTCTTGAAGATGGACATCTTTACTCAGCTGGGAGGACAAACAGGAGGTTAAGGTGATTTAAAACAGTCTCTATTTTCGTGTTTGAAAAATCAGAGAGCCTCACCCTGCAGCTGGAGATCGTCCTCACGGATCAGTTTAAAACTCGCTCTGCAGCGTCTCCACCCAATTCTGTGCAGGTGATTTTGAGGCAGGTTCATTTTACACCTGCAGGCGTGAACCAGCCAATCGTCTGCCAGCTCTCGACATTCCTGCAGGTTGACGGGTCTGAGGCTTGGACACATCTGACTGGTTGGGTGACATGTGATGGAAATGTGCAGGTGATTCACCCTGTGGCCAAACTACTTATTATTCTCTCAGAAACACAGCAAACAGTGTCAGTTGAGATAAAGGCGACTGTGGCTCATGATTTAAAACCTCTGGTGGAGTAAACTCACATAAATACTGACTCGACACGACTGAGCCACATTTTTCTCCTGGGCTGCAACTACTGCAGGTCAAACATGACTGATATGGGTTTAAAAGAGGAAATACATATTTGTTTTGTGGATTTAGAAAGAAACAAGTTCTGTAATCGCTCTGTCTTTGCTCCTGAGATACTTGATGTGGGTAGTCATCAGGTTTAGATTATATTTGTTCATCAAGATCCCTGGGAAATACGTGAAAATGCAAAAAAAATGTCATGTAAATCTGTTCAGACGTTTTTTTGCGTAATCCTGCAAACAAACCAACAGACAGGGATGAAAAGATTTAAAACTTTACTGCAGAGTCAGAATCTTAAATCACAAAGTCAACGTGAGAGAAATTTTAAAAAACGCCTCAGATGAGCTGGAGGTCAGCGAGACGTCAGACGTGACCACGCTGTGTTTACATACGATACAGGAACAAACTGAGGTGAGATCATGAGGCCGATGTTCTCCAAATCATCTGAACAGAACAGGATGAAATTATGCTTTAACATTTCCTTTTGGTTTAGTGAGTGTGGACACGAACAATCATTGTTTCCTGCGTTTGATGAGCTCAAAGCTAAATAAGAAAAACTGTCTCTATCGTCCATCAAACAAACATATTGAAGTCTGCTCCTGTGGGTTTTTACGACGTTTTCCTGATGTGATGATTTCAGAAGCAGAACACATCCTGCAGGGCCGTGGATTTTCTTATCTCGGAGGGGCCCCTCTCCCGCGGCCCCGGCCTGGCCCCGGCATCGGCCCCGCTCCTCTGGGCCCCGGAGGCCGACTCACTGGCCTCTGAGCGTTGGGGTTGGGTGATGCCAGAGCCACGTCTCTCTGCAGGTTGACTGCTTTGCCGGGTTTCGTCTTGGTCGGCTTTGCTTCAGGCTCTGGAGGTTTTTCTGTTTAGATGGAGAATAATGTTTAGACATCAGTGTTTCCGTTCACAGAGGCTTGTCAGACGAAGTTTTTGCGGAGTTGACTGACCAGGCTCCGGTGGAGGGGCGGGGGGGGCGAGGGAGTGGTTGGGCAGCAGGTCCTCCAGGTCTTTCATAACCTGATTGGTGCTGTCTGTGTTGTTCCTCCGATTCTTCTCCTCGTCCCGAGCCTGGACGGAGAAAGGAGAGAGAGGTGGAGAACAGATGTGTTAAACATCGACAGTATTTTTATCCATGTGATTCCATCGTCTCCCTCCACGTGTTTCTACATTGTGTGTTTACCATCTGCATCTTCTTCTTCAGCTCCATGTTGGAGTTCATGTAGGCCTCAGACACTGAGTTCAGGTAGTAGATGGCCAGTCTGTGCAGGAGAGATGAAACGTTTATTACTTGCAAACAATCAAACAATCTGTAAACTTGCATGTGTGTGTGTGTGTGTGTGTGATGCTGTGTCTCCTCCACACTCACACCATGAGTAGCACAGCTGGAATGATGAGGCCCGGGTTGGCTGCGTAGCTGAAGAGCGTCCCCATGAAGGCGGGCAGGTCCAGGTCGATGGTCTCCATGATCACGTCAAACATCTTTGCCTTCCCACTGCAGACGTCAACGCGGTCAAGTACGAGCGTGTCTTCTTCATGCATCGTGTTTACAAGTGTGAGGCGTTACCTGAAGGGTCCGCAGTCAAACGAGGGCGGCAGGGTCATGATGGTGTAGACCACCGGGAGCAGACTGAGGAAGAGGATGAGGAGCAGCAGACCCATGTAGAAGTTGTTGGACTTGGAGGCCTTGAAGACTCTCTCGTGGGGGACGTTGGTCGCCATCACGGCCCAACACTGGTAGTACATGGAGCTGAGGAGGCGGAGCACGTTGATGCCGACCAGCCCGGGAGCGTAGAAAGCGCCCATCCTAAAAGCATCGAATCGTGTGATCAGATGTCGAGACACAAATCTTTAGATGTTAAAACTTTCCTTTTGTTTGAATTGAATTGAGGTCAATGCAGAGAATTTAAAATCAGTGTACTACTTCTTAAAATCGACCTTTTGATATAACAATATACTGGAACACTGTAAAAAGTGTGTTTGAATAATGTAGTTAAAGGAGAAAAGGTTTTTCTTTCCTCTGTGTTCTGTAGGTTAGTGTTTGTTAATATTCATAACACATCTTTTCTAGTAAAAACACTAATTCAATTAAAAAACGAATTAAAATATATTTCGATTCAACCTGAATATGTGTCCTTTAAAACATCTAAATATGAAGCATGTTACAGTTCAACGTGAAATGATGTAACACATCTTCATGTTACATATAATTGGTGATAGTCAGTCTTATTCAAAATGTTGTTCATGATGCAGAGCGGCTCCATTGCAACCTGAAGCCTTCACTGGATATCATGTGATATCAGCGATACCAGATACATGCAGCAACACACACCCATGCATGTCGACTCACACACACACACACTGGACCCGTGGTCACACTCGTGAGCTTGTTGGTTATAGAAATAAAGTTTTCACCAGATCATCCCTTGATTGAAAACTAATCCGAGAACATTTCCACTGATGTCGAACTCTCCATACGACGGCTGCAGGTGAAGAGAGACAGTGAATTAAATAATACTTTATGAACAACAAAGATTTTTCTCTGTTGGAAAACTTCCATTTCAGTTGTCTGCACATGAAGTTTATATATGAAACTCACAAATCCAGCCTCCAGGTCCCAGCACCAGCAGTAGTTCAGGAAGCGGACGATGACGGCTCTGGCAAAGTCTCCAATAAGAATAGTGAGGTAGGTCACCTGGATGTCCGACACCGTCAGCTTCACAAACTCCTAACGATAGCAGAGAGGTGAGTTCTGGATTCATCTTGAATCACCTTCAATAACAATCCTGTCACTAACTTTTATTTTCCAAACTTTTTATTTTCATTACAATGCCGACGGCAGTTTCCCAGCAGGGTCCTCTGATGACGTCAGAAGGATCCATGGGAGGAGGAGTGACCTCAGAGTCGTTGATCAGACGTGTGAAGTTGGCGTAGTATTCCTTCATGGCCCAGATGGAGGCGTTCTTAATGGACTGCTCTTCTTCCAGCTACAGAGGCACAAAGAAGAAAAGGTCATTTTTAAGCGAATGATTATGATCATCCCTGAAAAGTGGACATAACAATTAAGAAGAATCAGATACACACGGAATCAGACCTTGGTGTTGACCTCATCGAACAGAGCGAACAGGAAGGTGTAGAGGTTTCCCAGGAAGAGGGCGAAGATGCGTCCCAGCTGCCACTTGAGGGCGATTCGAGGATGGTAGTCCTCCAGCTCAGCGATGGTCTCAAACAGAGGAGGACACACGAGACCCAGCAGAGACATGATGATCTCCAACTGGACCAGAACAGGAACACAGTGAAAATCAAATAATGTCCAATAATGATTTATCTGCATTTATTTCTCTTTTATTTATTTTCATATGTTTGTTTTCCTTTCCCTGGACACTGATCAGCATTAATCACGTGTGCCTACAGAGGGCGCTGTTTTATTAGTCGTATTTATCAATCTGTTGCACAGAAATCACGATGTAGCAGCAGCTAATAACTATTACTTCATTCTTAGTCGTCGTCAGTAGTTCCCACGTCAGCGGCGTCTCATTACCTCGTTCTTCTCGTACCAGCTGAGGTCGGTCCTGGAAGCAAACTCCTGAGACCTCTTCACCACAAAGTAGATGAGGTACCCGCTGCCGCCGAGGCTGCAGAGGATCATGAAGTTAGCCAGGACCCTGAGGAACCTCCGCAGGTGGATGTTCTCATCCTTCTGGTTCTCCTGCTCGTCCACTATCGACTCCTGTACTTGGCAGAAAACGGGAACAGGGAGGATTCACAATCAGCGGGGGGGAAACTAATCTGTCGTCGAGGTGAACTTCTGAAAATAAAGTTCACGAGGATGTTTGCACATATTTGTGTCTGGTTATCGGTTGCCAGGGTTACCTTGAAGCTGGTGGTGATGGAGGCGTATTTGTTGTCGGCGGTCTCTGCGTTGCCGATGAGGTAATCCCAGCTGGTGAACATCTTCCAGGCAAACGTGAACTCTCCTTCCTCCCCGTCTCCACCACCGACGTCAGCGTTCTTGGCCATTCTGGAAAAATAAATAAACATAAGGTCCACATATGGACACATGGACGGATGGAGATAGATCTGTTAATCCTGTGATGTCACGTTAAAGAATCTATGTTAGATTAAATCAATTTAATGGCAAAATACAATTAGATTAAAATAATGAAAACGTATAGAACATTATGTCAGGGACAGGTGAAGGAGGCTGTTTGAGAAGTTTCTTTTGCAGACTCACGTGCGAATCACGACCATCAGGCTGTAGCCGAAGGTGCCGATCCCGACCATGAGATAGGACAGAGGCAGCCGGAACTTCAGTAAACCGATCGTCCTCTGGTTGTTGTAAAATCCGTAAAACAGGACCGAGTATTTGCAGTAGCCCTGAGAAAAGAAGACGTTTCTCTTTCTCATCAGGGTCGGTTTGTATAACGTAGATGTGCTGCCATGTTAGCGAGGATGTTTAAAATTTGAAAAGGTTGTATTCAAGTGTTCCTCACATTGAAGTCCATGAGGACGGAGTAGTCCTGAGCGGTGGGCTGCTCTGCTCTGGGGACAGTTTTCCTGGGAATCGAACCATAGGGAAGCCCCATCAGAACCTGCAAAACAAAAACATTCATGTGTAGAGTTGTTTGTTAGTAAGGTTGTTTTTCCATATTTTTCTTATTTTGAAAAATGCGACATGAAAGATTTTTTCGTTTTTAGAACCACATCACTT